ACGGGGAAAAAGAGCAGTGGGAAACCTCTCGGGAATCACCCCCACACTTGGACACAAAGCTGTATCCCTCTAAGCAGAGGCCTATATGGCCTTGTACAGCTCTGTCCCATTGAAAGCCTTCAAAGCTTCCCCCTCCATGTTTTTTTTGGGGACTGTTCACCCACCGTGCACGGGAAAGGCGTTCTCTCTTCTCATGAACGTCTGGGGTACGAGAAACATTCATGCGTTGCTTCACCATAGCCCTTTCCTTCAGCCCACCTACTGCCCTTCTCAGACTACCGGTCCTCTAATCCTGCCAGTCATCTGGAACAGCTTTGAAAAAACCCAGGGATTAAACAAAATTATTCGGAGAGGTAGCAGCTAGGGTGCTTAATCGCAGACAAAGTCTTTCCCTGGACACGTAATCTGGGTCAGCACTTCTTCGTGCCTGGGTACAACATTTAATCCTTCTCTCAGGTCGCCCCAGAGTTAATACATGAGTAGTAATGGATTTCACCACTTGCATGCCTACTGCAAAGAGCTGCTCTACTGAAGTCATGTACTTTTATAGCTTTTTGCTGGGTGTATTCAGATATAACGTACAGAGTTTAGTTAAATGAGATTAACTGATTATAGATTAGTAATTTTTTTTACATTTGTGCGCGTTCCCCTATGTCCTATTACGGTCTATTAGTAGTTTTACTGACTAGTAAATGTTTTATAGTTTCAAATGTGAAAATCAGGTATGGTTTTACATTACAGGCTGTAATCCCTCTTTGCACAATAGAAGCATAAATAGCACTGCACCTCCATAACAGCTGTTCCACTATTCCAATTTACAGTACATCTGCCCTCTTTGTAAATGTATTTAAGCCTATTTAATCTTCTCTAATATTAATTAGTGCAAACCTAGGCTAAGAAAACCGAACTGTGTGATAGCAAATGGAAATGTATGTTATCATGCAAGTTTGCACTCTCTTTGGATCAAGACAAAATAAATATCAAGAAATTTAATAATTTACTGATCCACATTCATTATTGCTTAATGCTGAAGGCTGTTTTAACATAGATAGAACATTGATAAAAAGTGTTATTAATATTCCCTATTTCAAATTACAAAATTAAATATAAAAATATAGCTTGAGGCCTTTAGTCGGGAGACATACATTTAAATGGATTGCATAATAATAACATTTGTACCTAAATATAAAATTCAATTAAAACCTTTCTACAGATACAGAATACATCCAGGTTTCAGTGTTTTGAAAGGAACGGTTTCTTAGCTGTTGCTTACACTCACCCCTATAAAATATTACAAAACCTTTTGCTGTCCATGAAGAGCTTCCCCTTTGCATTTTCCTCTCCTCGAAAATATTTGGTGCTGATATGATAAATACAGTCCGCTTGTGTAAATCGTGTTATAGCAGAGTGCTCAAAACCAGAAAGTTGGTTGAAGGCAGAGAAGTAGGAGGCTCCTTGTTATTTCCACAGTTCCCATCAGCTGTAGTTTCATTACCAATGGATCCCTACGCTAAGAGGGACCACCACCCTAAGCAGACATGATTTTAACTTTCCTGGGGTGGCTGGTTCCTCCGTGGGAAGGAGCGGTGGTGGAAGCGGGTGTCGCTGACGGGTGGTTCCCTCACAGGGAGAATTGCTTGATGGAACCCCAGACTACATGTCCGGCCTCGACGACATGACGGACTCTGACTCCTGTCTGTCCCGAAAGAAGATCAAGAAGACAGAAAGTGGCATGTATGCGTGTGACTTATGTGACAAGACATTCCAGAAGAGCAGTTCCCTGCTGCGACACAAATATGAGCACACAGGTAGGGCAGCCACGCGCGCCGAGGGGAGGGTTGAGGTCCATGCTACGCTCTTCGCAGTGTTTCATGAGTACACTCGTGCAGAGAACGGTGCAGTAGGTGCTGAGGCTTTCAACAGGGAAGAAATGGTATCTCTTGCTCAGCACAATTTATTTTTTAATAAATATTTCTTTTTTTTTTAAATGGTTATTGCTTGGGAAAGGCCTGTTGGATGCAATGGGGTGAATCCTGGCAGGTGCTAGGTGAGCTCGGGTCACGTAGAGCGCGGTGGCAATCACGGCACTCAGCATCTCCCGGGACGAGCCCTCTTCAAAGAAGGCAGGCCCGAGCGCTCAGAAAGGGCTGCAACTTGGTCAACACACAGTCTGGCACGGGAAGGAGGAGTGACAGGGTATTTCTCGTTTCTTAGACACTATCTGACCCCGCACCATTTAATCCAATAGAAAAACTTCCCCTGACGTTAGCAGCGTGAGAGCTGGCTCTGGCCAAGTTATCTGAAAGCAAACAGCTCACGGGGGTTGCTCTCGCCGTGATTTCACACGCCAGCAGCGCAGGCAGGTTGCATTTTGCTTTTTCACTTCTCAGCTAATGCCCAGGGAAGGCTTCCTTCTTCCCCGAGCAGGAACTGATTTTTGTCTAGTTCAAGGAAGCTTGCCAAAGCTCACCACGGATTGTCAGTTTAAAAAATATTTTGGTTTGAAAAAGACCCTCCATCACACCCATGCTGGCCATGGGTCCCCTTGCAGGCACTGCTCCCTTCCCCGCTGTCAGCCAGGACAGGCACGGGCCTGGAGGTGGAGAACTCTCCGAGGGGGACGCATTAGCTCAGAGTGTTTCAGTTAGGGGAAAATGGGACCGGAGCTCCCCAAATAATAGAGATATCAAGTTATGTTAGACAAAGGGAATGTGAATTATCACGTGAATTATTGTGCAGCAGGACATAAACCAAACTCCAACTTCCTAGAGTTAGAAAAAAGCTTACTCAGGAGGAAACTTTCCTTAACTTTGAAAGCTGAGTCCCACTTCAGGAAATGAAGCAAGTCACATCATCCTTCAATCTCACCATGTGACAGTAAAAAACTTATACCTTTCTATTAATACATCTTCCAGGCCGCACACAATCATTTGGCATTTCACATATGAAAAATTTACAATTCGGAAGCGGACTCTGCCTTTAAAAAAAAATTCTCTACTTTGTTATTTTTTCTTCTTATACCTTTCTTCCAAACTTCGAGTTAATCCCACATAGGAAAATAAAAAAGGAAGTTAAAATACACGTGGGATTAGGAAAGAAAATGAAAAGCAACATTTTTGGACTAGGTCAGCTCGTTCATTGGTGGAATGTGCTTCCTACTACATTATTCAGATCAAATTGTTTATTCAGTAGAAGAAGCTTTGAAGGCTTTACGTCCCTGCACCTTTCCTCTCCTGAATGATTTTATTACAGCCATCTGCAAACATTATGGTTTACTACACTACTACCGTAAAGCTCTTATGTTAGAACTGGCCTTCATATATATCGGGATCTGGACATATGGTTGAATCCCATAAAGTTGGTAGTCCATAAGGTCGACAGACATATGGTTGAAAGGCTGAAAATTTGACAAGCTGAAATGTGTGCAATCACCTTGATTTGCAAAATAAACTGCATTTGTAAAAGCAAAAATATGTTCTGGTCCTTAAGTAGCACGGGAACCTACTGCCTCGAAAAATACCACACAGCTGTGCCGTAGGGACTTTTCTCCTCCTTCTTTGCTTTGTCCCTTTTGGCTTCTCAACTCTACGTCCGTCAATTTTATGGGACTCATCCTTATGATCCAGAACGCGTATATGATGTCATATTTAATACGCTAGAACTACAGCACATCCCTGAGCTTGCGCGTGGCGTTTAGAGACAGGAAGGCTGGTCTTGTGGCAAAGGCGCAGGCTCTGAGGCTGAGCGTGCTGCGTTCTTCTCTGCCTTGCCGCAGACTTCCGCTGCAGATTTCAGCAAACTGCTTCATCTTTCTCTCACCTTTGCCCATCTTCGAAATAGAAGGAAACGATACCAGCCCGCCTCTCTGGGGTGTTGTAAATCTGAATTCACGCAGGCTGAAATCCTGCGATGGAACTCGCTACATAAAGTGTGAAGTATTATTAAGGATGTGTTTGCTTTCGTGGAGCCTCCATGCATCACGCTAACATTAGATAGAGGTGGCTGGGAGCTCTGAAGACCTTGGCTGGGCTAGCCTCCATGACTCATTCACAGCCTTCAGGAGGCACACTGCACTGGGACTTTGGCTAATGGCTTAGCACGCATCTTCAGCGAATTTCAATTTAATTCGCTAGGTTTTGGAAAAAGCTCATAATTGCATTAAATAACATAGGTGTGAAACTGCAGTCCGTGTTCAGTGGAAGGAACTGAATTGATAGTAACGCCATCTTCTGCATTTGGGGTCATTGTCAGAGTAGGCCCAGACTTTTCAATCAACTTTTTGAAACCTGAAAAAGAGAAAAAGCTTCGGTTTTGAATGCGTTGCTGTTTTCTGATGAACTGATCACCATCTGATGTTACTTCATTAAAAATATATTTTAGGAGGAATTGGAATGCTTCCTGTCTTTCCTGGAGAAGCACAAACAGTGGATGTTGTTTATACTGATATGTAAAAAAATCTATGTGCTTTTTCAGGTCTTTTTTTCTGATACGTGAACAATCAGATTTTTCTTTGTCACCACTTCTCATGGTCCACAGACCTCTTGCAACCAACGCTAGAAC